GAAAGATTTCATTTTGTTTCTTGGAAATGGAAAACCCATAGAGTTATTTTACAAGCCCAGAAGGAGCTGCAGTATGAAATACAAAGCAGATGGCTTTACAGTATCCTGATTTAGATTGTGACTATGACGGTCTGAAACTAGGCAATCATGCTATAACATTTTATGTAAATAATGAAAAATTGTGAGGTAGGAAGATTCTGTTCAGTTTTAATTTTTATGCAAACCAGCCTAATTCACATTTTCAAGACTAATATCCAAATCAAAATGTACTTTTATCTATCTATCTATCTATCTATCTATCTATCTATCTATCTATCTATCTATCTATCTATCTTTCACACACACATTTTAAGGGAAAATATATGCAACAGAGAATGTTTGTAGAATTTAAATGCAAATTTTTGTATGATTTAAAAAATGATGCCTCTATTCTTCATGATTTGAAGCATATATTTGGAGTTTGTTTTAATATATGAATGCATTTGTTTGCTTTATTGTACAGAAAAAAGGAGATAAAAACAAACAGAAAAAAGAAAAAAAGTGTAAGGAAAAAATATAAACACACAGAAATCAGCTCCATTTTTAAGCACTGTGTTAAACCTTGACCACATGGAGTTTTAATACCCATCGGTCTTCCCATTATGCAAATAATGTTCATGAGCACAACGTGAACCAGATTGTATATCGGGGGTAGCACTATTTTTCTGTCATTAAAAAATAATACTTTTGTTTGCTTAGGAAACATAGCTCTTCTTATATTGAGAGATCACAATTTTTTTGGTATATAATTTAGAGTGTCACATCTTTAAATCGTATTTCATTTCCCCAAACCATATTGACTAACTTAATGTATTTTAAACCCAAATGGGATAATAGTGGGGCAAGCCCATATCATATGGTAATATTCCCTCAATCATTTTATATTTCTAGCATAACAAAGTTGAAGCCAGCCCTTTAAAAATACTTTCTGAGGTTTCCAATAAGCATGAAACAAATCCTTCTGTGAATTAATCTTATTTTAAGATAATTAGAAACATACTTAACATTTTAAAGACTATTAGCCATTGATTGGTTTTGATTTGTATGTAGGATATTCCATCTCATTATTCCAAAGTTCTTGCAAACAACTAAAATCCATTTTTACTATACTCTTTAATTGTCTATAAAAATAATACAGATTTGGAATAATCCAAAACAATTCCCTAGTAACTAGGGAATTTTAGATGCTGGTTGTGCTTCTGGAACAAAGTAAGAAATCAAATATTTTATATATATTAGTATTTCACAGGTTTTGACAATCCAAATTCCTCCTGCAATAAGTCAAATAATTTAAAGATGTGATTGGCAATTAACTGGTCTGAAGTATGAATACCCCTTTAGCCCACAACATTCCATTTCCCCCCCCCAAAAAATATCTGCAATTTTCCAGCTGAGATAAAAAGTTTATTACATAAGAGTCAGAATTATACTTCCGTCTCAATATCTTCCAAATGTGCCTTGTAAAATCCAGTAGAATCTTGATTTTAAAAAGTGCCAAGCTCTTGCTGTGATAACAGAAGGGTCAGATTATAACTTTCTAATTGTGCTCCAAATGGCTTTTAACTTGGTCACTAGAATTCCATAGAGAAGCAGACACCAAAAATGGATGTCTGCTAACAAAGCTGAAAATAAGGACCATGCTATAGAGTTCTGTTTCTCTCTCTCTCTCTCTCCCCCTCCCTCCCTCCTCTTCTTCTAGTGTCGTTTTTTTTTTTTTTAGAAACTTGGATCCAGGTTTGGGGGAACTCTCAGGGTTAGGTCAACACTTTCTCACTGCTGCCTATTCATTTGCTTTTTCCCTCTGGCCCCAGTCTACGCTCCTGACTAAGAAGAGAGAACAAGGCAGGTGGAGAATGCGGGTCGGGAAGGAACAGGGATCAGCAATAAGCAGAAGGATGACAATAAGCAGAAGGATGCACACCAGAAAAAAGAAGGCTTCCAGGATCAACAAGGGATCCTCAGCAATGTGTGGGTCTTGACAAGCACCCAATAATGCTGGTTCAAGACACTGGTATGGTTGTAGGTATAATTGTGATGAGAAAGGGGCTGGTTAAAATTCTTTCTCTACAAATCCTTCCCCATCCCCATCCCCATCCCCATCCCCATCCCCATCCCCATCCCCCACCCCTGTTACTTTCCCCATGGGGAAAGCATGCATGGATCCCCTCTTTTAACATAGCAGGCCAAAGAGAAAAGAAGCTGGGAATGTGATTTTCACAATTGCAGTGGAGCAACAAAAGGAATGTATTAGGTTAAGCAGCCCTTCCCTCTGATCTGCTTCTGATTTTAGCTTTCAAAGCCTGTTTCCCTTTTGCCAAAAAAAAAAAAAGGAGAGAAGAAAGAATCTGTGTTGTGTGTAATTTTGCTGACACATTATTACACCAAAAGGTATGCTCGGAGATAATTCTGCCACCCAAAGCCAAGGCTGACCACGCCTGATATTTGATTCTGTCTGTAACCCCTCACTGTTGCTCATCTAGAATAAGCAAAGAACAAAAGTTTGATATTCATAACCAGGAAAATGACTCGCATTTCTAAAAGGCAACAGACACTGTTTTCTTCAGTTTGGGGTTAATATGTTTTTGGATGAACGGCGTCATGTGAGATGCTGTTGCATTCCCAATAAAAGTGCTGGGAAGTTTGACTGAATGCGTTGTTCCTAAGAGCATCTACCAAGAGCAAAATGATATTTCCACTGTTTTTTAGCCATAATGAGGAACTCACACGCAAAGGTAGCACCCATGAAGTAAAAAAGCCAAACAACTCAAGAACCTCTGTTCCTCATCCATAACTTGCTGAATTGTTACTTCCCCATATTTCTATGTATTTAAGAACAAAACTTTCCTCAGAAGTTATTGGTGCCTCAGCAAAGATATTGAAATAATAAAAAAAAATGCTATGTGTTCTCTAAATCAACATAATGGGCTCTTGAATAAAGAAATTCTTGCAAAGCACTAAATTCTATGGTCCAACCCACTAAAACAACCACACAGAACTTGTGGCCCGCCACCAACCTTGTTTAAACAAAAATTCCTTGCTTTATGTTGCAGGAAGCACACTGTTGTGTGGAATACATTGTTCTGAGGAAGCATTATCTGAAGCTACAGCACACCCAGGGCGTCCTGTGCCCAATTCAGGATAACGGTACTGAGAGATCAGAAGCAAGTGTGTGTGTCTTTTAAAATCAGAACTCTCTATCTGCAAAATGGCTTGAATAGAGATTAAATTGTCTTTCAAGAAAAAGGCTGGATTGTTTTTGAAAATCCTGAACATTAAGTAACAAGATGGCTAAATGTTTTCACCCTTAGATTCTTAGTTTTGCTTCCAAAAATAAATTTCAATTCCCAAGGTGAGCACTCTGGCATGCAGAAAACACTCAAGTCTGAGAAGGAAGCCAATCCCATATTCAGGCAAATTTTAAAAATCCTTATATTATTCAGTTAACCGTCCTGTGGTATAGAGAATAGTGTCTTATTGGCTCTCCCTGAGGATCATCAGGGAGGTTTTAAGCTGTCATTAAGCAGGCTGCCTTTTGCTAGGATTTTAATTAACACTACTGCTTGTCACAATTTTGTATTTGTGATCAGCTTTGTGAAAGGATTTAAGCATAAGCTCTCCAAGACTTAAGGGGTGAAAATCTATATTACTGTATAAATATATATTTGAACCAGGGCAGTGCACTGCCATAAATACATAATTTTTTTTAAAAGCCTGAAACCATGAAACTTCATAGCTTCAAATTATAGGAGGCAGTGTGTTAATGTACTCCAAAATTAGACTTTACTTTTCCAAGTCTTAGCGTAACTGTCAGGAGTTGGGGAAGCAGAGACCAGGTTTTCAAGTTTGGTCTATAATTAGGAAGAGGCACAAAAAAGAAGAACAGTACAGACTGTTATTAATTGTGTGTTTTCTGGGCAATAAACCTTTTCCCCTGTGGTTTTACTGGTTGTATTTCATGAAAATGGACACAAAACACAAGATGTAAAATAATATTCCTGCCTGGAATGTTAAAAAATATTTAGGGGGCCGCCGAAAGAGGTAATAACAGCGACATTTTTAAATTTGACTGTCACAGCAACACATTCATAGTCATGCAACTATACAACTTTTCTGTGTACACATACTGTTTCCCATAAACAGACTTAAAGTCCCATAAACAGATTTAAAATCCAACTGAAATTATGGTTAATCCCAAAATCTTGGATTGAAATGAAATTATGCATTACATTTTTCAGTATGGAGGATATTAAACTTGGGAATATTTTACTCTCTTGTTGAAGTTGGTGGGATCTAGAAGAGCTTAACCGGTCCAATTGTGCTTATAATTACCCCATTGGTTTCATTCCAGCTGAACTACAATGGTGACACAGAACCTTGATGTTGAAAAAGTTGAGAAGATTTTTGTTCTTCCAACTTTCTATTTCAAAACAGAAGCATTTGCACTTAGTCTCACTCAAAATCAGCTCACACAGTCCAGATCAAAACCCTTCAGCTTCAGTAGATTTAACTGGAGCTGCTTTTGAACTTCTGCACCATCACAATAATTAAACTGCAGAGCATTAAGCCTAGGGCTCCAAAATCCTATTTGTATGCTCATCCTACCAGACATTGCACGACTTCCCTCAAATGTTCATCACACAATTCTACAGATGGAACCAAAAGCAACTAGTTAAAATGATTGAGTCAATTCCATTTATCCTGAGAAGTGCAATGGCATTTGATGGAGTGACCACATTAGAGCCAAATTTATCACACCCCAGGCAGCATCCCTTGTTATTCAGAGCAGCAGTAGATATTTACCTTTGTTGGAGTGACCTGCCGCATTTGATGCTGATGAAAGGGAGGACTTTTGCTTCTGCCGTTTCACGGTCATCATCACCTGTTCCTGGACCCTTTGTTTTCCTGTTCCTCTAGTTTTCAACTTGTGATCCGAAGGCAAAGCTAAAGTTGAATTGGCCTGATCTTGGAAGCACTCATATGCCAGTGCGGTTTTCAGTGGAGAGGGAGGGTGAAGCATGGTTGCAGATGGTGGTGCCAAGGTGAATGTCACCTGCCTATCCTTTGAAACTTTAAAAACCAAAGCAAGGCAAAAACAGCAAACAGCAGCAAAGCAATCTTGGTTGAGTATAGAATCTCAGGGAGCTCTCCTTGCCATACGGTCCTCTGCTGACAGCTGCTGTTTCTCCACGCTCTGCTCTCCTGTGGATGATTGAGCAGGCACACCCTCTGCTAGACTGGATATGCAGCCTTCTGACTATGTCTGCACACGCCCATTGCTGTACTCCACTTCCAGATCCCAAGACAGCACCGCAGACTTGCCAAGCTACTGCCTTTTGGCTCCTCTGGATAGGGCTGTGTTTTAGCTGAAACGCCATCAGCAATGGCAGGTAGATGGCATGAGGCCATGAAAAAAGCAACCATGAAAACCAAATCCATACCTTCTGTCATTTTATCTTTCCGTTAATATTGTTGTCCAAAACTACTAGTTCAGAATAGCTTCTTGGACCTCTAACCAGGCTTTCTACTCTGCATTTTTCCTATATTATATGCTCTGAAAGGAGTTACTAATTAGGAATCAGTTGCTGGAACACTAACTCACAAAATAATTTCAGGCATATTGTTAGCAGAGGAAAACAAAACCAAAGGAGAACTGATATTAAGCCAACAGAGGCTGCCTATTAATTCTGTGATATAGATGGTTTCTGTGTATCTCAAAACAAGCTTATTTCCATGTAGCTCAGCATTCCTTCTACGGTGGGCCTCTGTCAAATGTCAGAAGGAGAGCATGCTAGTAAGATCTACACTTACCAGTCGTCTGCAGCTGCCTCATGTAAAATCCTCATTCAGGTTAGGATCCCAGAGGATCATCAGGAAGCCTGGAATAGCCAGAAAGAATTAGGCAGCACAGCAAGTTGTAGAAGAAGATGGCACTCTCTATAGCTGACGATTAAAACTCATCATGTCTGAAAAAGCAAGATCTGGTGATAGCAGCTTTTACTAGAAGGCTCTTAAGCCTTGTTCCCAGTAATGAGAGGTGGGGAGGCAGTGGGGGAGAAATGGACAGCTTTAAGTGCTATGACTGAGCATGCTCAGTAGCCTCAAAGAAAAATGGGTATGGAGAAGTTAAAGAATCTAGAATATTGGAGAAAAATGTGGAACAAGAAGCCACATTTTTCTTTTAATTCAAAACATAAAATCTCCACAAAATACACCAGATATTCCTCATTTCAGAATGCTCCAATCCCATAGCAGACTTTAAAACTTTATGATCTCAGAAGCTATGAGTTGATGAGCTTAACTCTGTGTATATTGGCACTTAATATCTCAGTAAGCATTTTTCAAAAACACAAAATAACTGTCTCCAGTTTCAGTCTTTTATCTCATTCCTTTTAATGAACAAAAGAAGTTCCCTACTGCTTAGGAGTGGTTTGTTTTCTCACTAAATAGACTTGGAAAAAATAAGGATGTGTATTCAGGAAAAAAATCAGATCATAAAACAAAATAAAACGGAAGGTCATAAACCATTAGGGAGATATTGATATATGAGTCTCTGCTTTCTATCACAGTCTTTAAAATTTAAATAATGTGCTCTTAACTTAGCAGTTTTCCCTTCATGTGTTATTGTTTGTTTGTGTATATACAAGAAATGGTATAATTCAGTATCTTTAGGGGAAGAGTTCAGTCATCAACTCTAATCCGCTGCTCAGTGCAGGAATTCAAATTAAAGCATCAAAAACAGATGGCTGTCCAGCCATTTACTAAACATGTGCAATGAAGGGAAGCTGACTGCTACCCTCAGATTATAGTGAACTATAACTTCCCATTATTTGGAAACTACACTTTTACTGGAAGACCCTAACATTGCATTTATCTTTTTAGCAGCCATATCACATTGCTGACTCATATTCAGCTTGTGATCAATTACACTTCAAATTACAACTAAGGTATTTCCCCATCTTATTTTATTTCTTTTTCCTAAATGCAGAACTTTACAATTCTCTTATTTTCAGCCCTTTTCCCTAACCTATCAAGATAATTTGTGATTTTGTTTCTGTCTTTTAGCTGACCCATCCATCTTCAGATCTGATCACTGTTTCCTCCATCTCTTCATCTGTGTGATAGATTAAATAAAAATGTTGAAGAATACCAGGCCCAGAACTGGACCCAGTCTGATAAAGAACCATTGATAAGCACTCTTTGAATATGATTTTGGGTATAATTTGGCCACCATCTATACAGTCACATAATTGTATTGCCTCTAGCCCAAGGTTAACTATCTTGCTAATCACAATGTCATGACCTACTTTGTCAATCACTTTGCTGAAATCAAGATATATCACATTTACACATTTTCCACAATCTACTAAGTGAATTACCTAATCAAAAAGATGAAAGAAGTTACTTTAGCAAGACTTCTCATTAAAAAATCTGTGCTAACATGCATTAATTACCACATTGTTTTCAGAGTGATAATTATTATTTTCAAGGTACAGAGTGATTAGAAGCTTCCCAGGTATTGATGTCAGCCTTTGTCTATAGGTCCCTGGATCCTTCTGTCTTCCCTTTGAAAATATTTGCTCACCTCCAGCCACTTCAGTATTTTCCAGAATTGCTCAGAGATAAGCCACAGTGGATGTTTATGTTTGCCATATTTTTGCCATCTTTCTTGAGCAACCGATATGTGATTCTTTCCCTTTATTTTGAACCTATTTGCTGTTCTTAGCATCCTTTGCCAACCTCAGTTCATTCTGAGCTTTATTCTTTCTGATACCATCCATACAATTCCAGGTTATCTGGATGTACAATTCCTTGGTGATCAGTCCCTCTTTTTTAGATCTGTTTGTTTTTAAATCATCACTAACCCTTTATTCAATTACACTGAGTTATTCTACTTCCATAATGTTTTCAGTATCTTCTCTTTTAGGAATTCCCCCTCATCTTGAACTTCTTTTCACATGAGTTTCTCTTGCCATAGAATCCTGATCACTTTTTTTCATCACTTCTTTGAAGTTCAAGATACATGTTCAACTTCACTCATGTGAAATCAAGAACTTGAGTACTACTTCTTCACTTTCATTTAATGTTCTTTGCTATTTCTTTGGCTCCTCACAGATGTTGACGTAATTAAAGTCCCATGTTGTTATTACTTCCTACTCTTTGGAAGATCTGCAATTTCCTTTTGGGAAGCATCTTCTGTATCTTCTTGGTTGAAGAGATGCAAGTAATGCAGGTAAATAGCACTGCTTTAATTCATTCTTCCACTTATTTAACACCTTGATTACAGCAGCTTTCCCATACTTTTTTATGGTCATGAGTTTTATTTGAAGTTCATACTTCAGAGATTTCATCTCCCATCCACCCAGGATTCAGCTAAAACTTCCTAGCACATTTCAGTCAAATGCCTTTTGGCTAGTTTTTGTGAGGTGCAAACCATTTCCTCATCCAAAATAGTTTCAAAAATAATCTTACCTATCTCCAGCATTTATGTTCCACAATTTATCTGTAACATTTTTCTTTCCTTTCTCATCCTCTTCTATGGAATAGAAAGATGGATGAGAACACGACCTGAATGCTTACATTTTGAACTTCTCATTTCCAGTTGTCACTCTTGTCTATTGGACTTGCTCCTTTATGTGGTTCTCTCATGGAAAGCTGCTATGAACTCCTGTAGTAGTGCTTCTCTATTTGATCTGATAAATGTATCTTCTTTCTTATGAGCTGAAGTGTGCCAAGCCATTACTCCAATCCTATTACTTTTTTCTTCAAGCCTTACTACTAGTTTGCATTTGCTGCAATATATCAGGCTGTTTTCAGGCAGGAATGCAAACATACAGCAAGTATTGTGACTGCAGAATCATGTCTGTTCATTGTTGCTTCTGTTTCTTAAGGCAACATGAGTAAAAAGGTTTTTTATTTCTTCTTACTGCCTTCTCAGGCTCTCAGGTTAGCCAAATACTTTTGGGTAAAATCCTGTTGGGGATAAACTCTCCCTCCAAACTCTATTGCCAAGTTCCTGATAGCAATCCCTCTTTGCTCACTCATTTCACTCCCTCCCTAATAAAGAGTATGTGACTGAAAGTCTAAATGTAGAGTGCAAAGGTATAACCCATACTGAAAATGTCACATTTTAGAAATAAGGCATCTTAAGGAAATAATATGTAACATACTGATACTAATATAGCTCAATATAAAACAAGTAAAAATCCAATGTTATAACCAAAATGTTATAATCTACATTAATTTAGAGACATTAAGACAAACATTATTTAAATACAGTTTTTAGGATTAAAAAAGGGGAAAAAAATCTGCAGTTCAGAAGAAGGTTAAATTGTTAAAATGACTGGAGAGATAGCCAATCAAATTTTTTATGTAGCTCCTGAACATAGTTTCTAGGAAGTTTGTAGACACTTCTTCTCTTTCCACCTTCAAAAGAATCTCAAAACAAGTTCTGGAAGAACATCAGAATTAGCCTGGGAATTAGACTTGGATGTCAAAGAACTAGTGAATGTTGTACGTGGGAATACGTAACAAGGGAGTTGCTACAGTGATATTACAGGTGCATTGAAGAGTGGAAAACAAAATAGGAAATGACTTTATTTTCCTGACTCTTGGCTGGTCTATTTGTCTGTTTACTTGATATTCTTTTTTACTTGAATCTTAATGTTTCCATTATAATGTTGCTGTTTAATTTTACTAGTGACAATCCACTGACAACAGAGTGACAGTCTAATGAATTTCTGATGTTCTGCAGAAATGTGATACTGGCAATCTTTCCTATTTCATAATCTCAGCAAAACAATCACTCACCAATAGTAAAGAGGGATTTCAGTGGATGAACAGGCAGAGAATATAAGTTACATCAGTAAATGGATTAACTACAAGAGATGCAAAGCTGTGTCAGTCTATCAATCACACAAACAAACAAACAAATTATATTGTGGGGGGAAATCCATCAAAATCCTGGAATAATAAAGCTAAGAGGTTTACCACTAGCTGCACTGGAGGGAGAAACTTACCAGGCACATCATATTATTTCCCTCTCCAAGGCTCAGGAAAGGAAAGACTACATGAATGCATCCATATAGGGTTCTTTTGGTAACAATTCAGAAATATTTAGTATTGCCTTTTTCTAGATCTTTTTTACTTCCAAAAATTTTAAAAAATGTATTTCTGGGTGG